CAGATGATACCCTTCTCCTTATCCACCTTAAAATAGAATTACACTAGCAGGAACTTTGAAATCCGAAAATGGAATTACAATAGCGGGAACTAAAAAAACTCAGAGAGTTATTTGGGTTTTTTTTTTTCACATACATAAACATGTCTCGTGACCTCAGGATTGAATAATGAGAAAGTATTCAAGCAATTTGCATCTTCATAAAAAAAATCCCCCTAATATTTTACCTGTTGAAATCGCAACTAAGAAGGATGACGTCGGTTCAGTATTAGCGAAAATTTCACCGATTTAATTTATTTAACCGCAACAAATCGATCCTCTGAAAACCATTTTTCTTCTGATTATGCACAAGTTCCTCCATCGTCTCAAGGTATCTTCCTTTTATGTTTTCTTTTTACATCGTATGTTATCCCGTGTTTTTGTTGATACCAATAAAATATTTGTATTTACTCCCTGTGCTTTAAAAAAAATAGCTGTAGCACCTGGTTCCCGGTACGTACTCCTTGCTATTTACCTTTTAAAAATAAATAAATGATATTAATGCATCTTGCCTTGGACTCGGCGAGTTGATGGGCCAACTCGCCGAGTAGGAGTGGGACAAGGCACGGGAGTTGGACTTTGGACTCGGCGAGTCGGTCCCCGGACTCGGCGAGTAGAAGCTGGTTGGGCAAAAACCCTAATCCGGGTGTTTGCACCCTATTTAAACACTCTAACTTGGCCTCCTTTGTCCCTAACACTTCCAGAGAGCAGTAGTGCGAGACCCTAGCCCCCCATATTGTTCTTAAGAGTGTTTTTGGCCTTGTGAAGGAGGTTGGAGCTTAGAAGAAGAAAGAGGTGGTTGAAGAGTGCAAGGAAAGGAGTAGATCCGAACTCTACTCAGGGAGAAGCTTCCATTCAGGTAGAAAAGTCTCTACCTTGATCTTTAGATCATTAGTTACCATTTTTGTCCCAAATTGGTGGTTTTCAAGCCCTAAAACACCAAACTCCATGTGTGGTGCTTAATGATCCGAAAGGACTTCTGATCTGGACTTATTGGATGAATTAGTAGCATAAAGTTCCTGTGGTTGAAGTGATTGAGGTCCCCATTGAGTCTATGACCTCGTGAAGAGTTTGGTTTTGGCCTTTTGAGCTTATAGGGCCATGCATGCACGTAAAGTTTGCAACTTTACTTGATAAGCATGCTCAAGGAACATGGATCTATGGTTTTGAAGCGTTGCATGTCTTAGATTTGGCCTATATGGGAAATGGGTCATAGGGACTCGGCGAGTCCCAAGGAGGAACTCGACGAGTTCCATGAAGATGTCCTTAGACTCGGCGAGTTGGATGAACAACTCGGCGAGTCCTATGGAGATTGTCTGGAACTCGACGAGTTGTTCTTTAAACTCGGCAAGTCGGGTCACGAGTTGGTTCAATCATCCCAAGTCATGAGTTAAGGATGATTCAGTGAGTGGAAAGAAAGACTGGTTGAGTAGGACCGGGTTAGTAGGAAAAGGACTCGGCGAGTCCAGTCAAATGGACATTGACTTTGACCAAGGAGTTGACCTTGGGCCAAGGGAGGGTTAGTCTTTTGACCTAAGGGTATTTATGGGTGTCTAACCTATGTTTATGGTTTATAGCCGGAGGATTTGCGATCCAACAGTCAGACGCTCAGCAAGCAGACTTCAGCAGCTAGTTTCGAGGTGAGTTACCTTCCAGTAGTGGTGGGTCTAAGGCCACAATGCCGACCCACTAGTAGGAGACGTATGATAGATGATTGTCTTTGTGATATCATCTAGGTTTGCTACTACGTGATATGTTATATGCTAGCATGATATGTTGTATGTGATAGTAGTAAAGTTCGGTTGTTAGGACCGAAGGGTAGTCAGACACCCCACATATGTCTGACAATATGTGATGATATGTTTGCATGCTGGCTTGTTATGTTATATGCGATAGAGGTAGTAGGAGGGGACCAGTCCCCGAGTTCGGTTGTTAGGACTGAAGGGTAGTTCAGGCACCCCAGATATGTCTAATATTATGTTATGTTATGATATATGTGATAGTAATAGTCAAGGGTGAAATAGTCCCCGAGGATCGGTCGTTAGGACCGATGGGTAGTCAGCACCCCAGAATGGACTGACATGGGTAGTCAGCACCCCAGAACGACTTGACACGGGTGGGTCGGCACCCCAGAATGGCCGTACCGGGTAAGTCGGGCACCCCAGAATTGCCCGACAATATGTATGATATGTGATTGTATGGTATGTGGTATGATGGGGGAACTCACTAAGCTTCGTGCTTATAGTTTTCAGTTTTGGTTTCAGGTACCTCTTCTTCGAAGGGGAAGGAGCTAGCGCAGTAGCAGTACATCACACACACGCTTTGTATTCCGCACTATGAGATCTTCCTGGAGATTTGTACTCTGACCTTTTTATGTTTTTATAAACTGGTTTCCAGACACGCACATCTTTTATGAAATGATATGATCAGTGAATGTTTTATTTCTAATGTTTTGCTAAGTATGTGCTTTAAAAATTAAATTTTTGGCTCGTATTTTTAGGATGTTACAATAATAACTGATTATTCATAATTTCACATATAACAAAAATGGTTTGTTTGTTTTTTTTAATTTATTGTAAACCATCAACGTAATAAAAGTTGTATCTGTAAAATGATTTAGTCATCATCAAATTTTCACATAAAACATTTTAAAACTGTTAAACCTCAATCTAAATGATCACGTCCATATTTATTTAATATTTCGTGTTTTCGTCCAGTATTTTTCTCAAATAAAAAAAAATAATTATATGTTGCATTAGTATGTGTCTTATGCACTCTAAAACGTATGTTTTAGAGTTTCCATATGAAAGAAGATTAAATCAAATATTCAAATACATAAGTATGAGGGAAACATGCATGAGTTTAGGAATAAAAGAAACTAAGTCAATTTATTTAAGATATTTTTCAATCTAAACTACGTTGTTTTGAAATGTTTTATATGTAACATTAGATTAGATTTAATATAACTTTTATTGAGTAATCTAACATTTTTTTGGTTGTTTTTTTTTTTAATTATAACCTTTTTTTTTGCAAACCACTTGGTCCGGAAATGAGCATTCTAACCTATTTACCGTTCGGTAAACGGATACATAATTCTGACCCGTTAATATGGTTATCATGTAAACACAACTTTGTACAATTTTATTATTTATATAAATTTGAGTATTTGTTTTAGTTAAATTTAAAATTCATTTTATAAAATTATAATTTTTTGCATATCTACAATTACAAATTGCCAATTACATATTCAAACGACTATCAGTTTGTAATTTCAACCAATAGTTATGTTATCGTATTACTGCAAAACATATACAATTTTTAATTACTAAATATTTTATTATCAATTTTCAATAAATAAGTTTCAATTTAGTTAAAAAAGGTTTTAAATTTCTAATTTGTGGCGCCCACGAGTTATAACCTAGTAAAACATATATCACTATCAAACAATCAATTATGGACAAGTTAATGAGGATTGGGGTTACAAGTTATTCTCGTAAGTTGTATTCGACTGTTTTTATTTGTTTAACAGAAATCTTTAGAAAAATCTTAATACTTTGAGAAACTTTTAATAAAATCTTAAGTTTTATTTTTTAAATATAAAAGTCCAGAATTTTTAACTTTTTGAATAGGAAAACAAAAAACCGGTTAATTCATTTGCTTTAACCATTTTTGACATGTACAACAGGTTATGAGACAAAATCGTTATTTTTATCAAAATAATAAGTTTTTTTCGTAGATTTCGTCAAAACTCATATATAATGTATAAACGTATTTTTATATATTTATATCTATTTTTATGTGTGTGTGTGTATATATATATATATATATATATATATATATATATATATATATATATATATATATATATAAGTTTTTATATGTATAAGTTTACGTATTTATATATATTTTTAACTATTTTACATATTCTTCGAGTATGTCTAGATGATTTTCATAACACACCCACATATTTTAAGTTTTCCCCATTCATTTATCTTGAAATTAAATATCGAATGAGAAAAACTTAAGATATACTCGTAGAAGCTGTGCGAATTGGATGAAATTGTGAATACCACTTTGGTTTTACAACATTGATCGCCACTGATACATCTATGTTAGAAAAAAAATTATTGATGAAACCCATAATGAATCTAGAATCGAAGAATCCATTCTCTTTGAACGTCTCTATCGTGTGAATGGGTTGCTCGAGAGTGAAAAGTCCATGTTGGGTATTCCCGCGTTGGCAAATAAGCTTATTTAGATGCAATGGTATTCATATTGAAATGTATTCCGGACATTCTCAAGAAGATCAATAAGGGGCTCAATGCTTTGAATTTGGAGCTCAACCAATTACCCAACAATCTCATGAGTGTTCCCGAAGCTATGGCTACTTTCATGCATGTTATTGGATCCTTGAAAGAAACTCTTCAAAAGATGTTGATACAAGGCAACTATAAATCTATAATTAGTATGAGGACAATAAACAAATGCATTTCAATGCTCGGTTAGTCGAAATGATGGATCGGTTTTCGAAAAAACTTCACCTGAGTGACAAATTCTCTGAAAGTTTCCTTGTTGAGGAGGTGAAAGTTGTAGAGGAATCTAATAGGATCTTTTCATCTAATTTCCCTCCTCATTCATGTTTGCTTAGGAAAAAAGTGAACAATATCTATAGTTTGCCACTTCTCGTCGTAAAAGAAGTTTGTGGTTATCTTGAAACCGTTTGTGTTAGAGTCTTGATTGATCATTACATAAGTTATCCAAAACTACTTTCCTCCATGAGGAAAGCGACTCATAAAGTGATGGAGAAAATGAAGCTTGAGTTTTCAGAAAGAGTTGTTGAGATGATGGAGATGGAGAAGACCACACATTATACATGTGACCCTGATTTTATTGCTTCTTGGAACAAGTTAACGGGAAATCGTGATGTGTTTATGCTTGCAACTAACAATTTCAAGAAGAAATAAATATTGAAGGTCAAGGCAGGATTTTTGTTAGACTATTTGTTTAGTGTACATGAAAATACAAGGGATCAAGCATTTGAATTAAAAATAGGATGGCAGCCTACTGGAAAATTGTTTTGAAACGAGTAGCAGATTGCATAGTGCTTCGGATTCTGTTATTGGTGAATGTGGAGATACAAAAAGAGATGGTGAATGAGGTGATGTTGCATGGTGGTGGTATAGAAACGATTATGGAGGAACTATCACTAGAGAGGGTGAGGCTACAAAGAAACGTTGTCCAAGAATCAATAGGTTTCATCGAAAATGTCATGGATGTCAATTTAGTTTCAACTCATTTAGGAGCAGAATACTAGGATCCGAATCTAAAACTTCTAAAATAATATGGTTATAGCATATTAATTTTTTAACAAGATACTAATATGAAATTTATTTAGATCGTTGATCAAAGTTGAAATCATCTATCTTTTGCATCATTTTTAATCTCACATAATTATCTCTAAGCTGATATTTACTTTAGATACAAAACCAATAGTTATATTATTACGATTAATATATATATTTGGGTAAATTATATCATTGTTCTCTCATGTGCCAAAATACACGTTTAATCTTTATTTTCAAAAATTCATTTTGTTTTTTCTTGCACATGTATATTCACATGAAATAACAATTTTACCCTTATTAATTTTTTTATTTTCTTTTATTTCTTTATCGATTTTAAAATTAAAATAATAATACTAAACAAATGTTACCACCCTCCTCTTCCATTCCCCCAACTCCAGATTTTCCTTAGATTACCCACCACCACCACATATCACCACCAACACCTCCGACACCACCTATCAGGCTATCACCACCAGCTCTTCCTCCAACCCAACCATAATCTGAAAACCTTGCACCTGCTTTCTACTAGAAATTACCCACCACCACCTATCTCTCTATCTCTCGACTTTGCATCTTGTTCTTAAAACAATATCGACGGTGACAACATCGCTTCCCCTACCCCTGCTTCAAAGAACGCCTGCACTCGCTACAAATTCCTTCAAAGATTGCCATAATCGGTATTGATTAGAAGATAACACACATGCAACACCAAATATAGAAAGATGAGATGATGAAATCGATTTGCATAAAAGGCGGGGTGGGGATTGTACACTGATGGAATAACAATCCATTACCCTCTCATCGGAAAAACCAGAGGCGACTAGGTTTGGTTTGGTATAGCGACAAACAACCCATATTTTTCGGCACACCTGCAACACCAACCTCTGAAGACGAATTCCTCTTTCTCATCTCCACCACACATGAACTTCATCCTCCCCTTCTAGATCCAGAAATCAAAACGGTGGTTTCAGGATGACGATTTGGAATTTGAAAGGGTGGTAGTTTCGCTGCCATTCTTTGTCTTTCTTACGGCGTCTCAGATAGTAGTGAAGGAGGTCGGAGACGGATTTGCACTCCGACAACCACCAGATCTCCTTATTTCCTTATGGACAAACACACCCATGCCTTCCTCCTTTTAATGCTCTCTTTTTTTATTGTCGTTAACCCAACACAATGAAAGGGGTGGAGAAGGTTCGCCGATAACTGTATACGTGTGTATATGTGCATATGTGTGTGTGTTTGTGTTTTTCTCTCCGATTAGTAACATAGTGGATGGATTGGTGAAAGTGAAGAGGAGGGGGCATTTATTACCTTTTTAATTGAAAATCATAATATAAACCTTAATAATTGAAAAATAAAAATATAAGGGTATTATAGTCATTTAAATTTTGGTACAGACTAGGTTCGCAACAAAATCGTCTTTCAGGATAAAGCTTACAAGGTTAAATCAAAGGATAAAGCTTACAAGGTTAAATCGAATGAGAGACGGACCGAATTAATTTTTGAAAATAAAAAGTAAGTGCGTTTTGACTCATACACAAAGATGAATGATGTAATTTACCTTAGATATTTACTTTTTGAAAATATTATTTTTTTCATTCTTTGTTGATTATCTTATTTTGTTCCAAAATTCAACAGCTACTTTTTATGCATTTGAATTTATTATGATGTATATTAAAAATAAATAAAACTTATATTTTACATCAAGTTCATTGTAGTAATATATAATTTTTGGTTTAGAAGGTAACAAGAAAATTAATTTAACACCAAAAGCTAAACAAAATTGTGCTAATGTATAATATTTAGTTTAAAAAGTAAGAAAAAAAAATTAATTTAACACCAAAATATAAACAAAATAATAATTTCATAAGCTATTTGTTTGGTTATATACACCGAAGGAGAGAATTAAGAAAAAGATAAATTTGTTGGAAACAATAAAGAAAAATATAAATTTCTAAGAAAATTGTATACACACCGGAAGGAGAGAAGAAAATGTTCTTAAATTCTAATAGTGTCTGTTTGCGATGTTTTTAAAAGAAAAAACATCATAAATGGTCCCTGTGGATTCCCAAAATCTGAAGTTTAGTCCCCGTGGTTTAAAAACGTCACAGATGGTCCCTATGCTTTCAAAACTTTTGACGATTGGTCCTTATTGCTAACTCCGTTAACTTTTGTCCGCTAACTGAAGGGCATTTTCGTCATTTCACTACCACAGGGACCATTTATGATGTTTTCAATTGTTTTTTTTAAAGAAAAAATGGAATAATATGTAGTTGGGTCCTCTCTCTCTCTCTCTCTAGTAAACCAACCCACCCACCTTTGTCTTTCTCCCTCGTCTCCAAGAAATGACGAAGAGTATGAATAAGGTGGGTCAAGCGATGTGGAGGAACAAAGGAGATTAGAGCATGATTTAAGTTGTTTTGAGATGATTTTAGCAGATTTGGAGAGTCGAGTCGATGATCAAAAGACACATATATGCAAGCTTGTATTTATATGTCTTTTCTATATTATTATCATCATCATCATCATCTATTTCTGGTTTGAAAATGAGACATAGATCTCCCCTGCCAACTAATTGATCTTGATGTACTCGACTTCTTGATTTTCTGGGTATTGCAATGATTGAATTCAAGTCCAAGTTATGATCAGATAGCACATGATCTTTTGTATATTAGGTGATGTTTGAGGGTATGATTTGGATGAGATTTTTCTTTCAGGCATTTCATCGAACATATGTTGTGCAACACTCGTTTCCCTTCTTTTATCTTATGTTGTGCAAGACTCGTTTTCCTACTTTTTATCTGTTTTATGCACATGTGTTGGATCCATCCTTGTCTTCAAATATTCAATTTAGTAAACAAAAGAAACAAGTATATAGGAGGGCAAATGAGTGATGTTGTCGATGAACTCAAATGACCGACTGCATATATCCTTCAAAGTAGAGAATGAACAGGTAGAGCTATAGTTCGTCAACAATCCTAACGATCATCTTCCAAACTTCTTGCTAAGTCTGATTCAATTTGTATCCAATTAGTATGCTTCTCCATTTTATTGAAAACTTTGAGACTGATTCATGGAAACCAGCAACTTTAATGGCAACAATAATACCGATTTATCTTGCCAATAGTTTGGATAGTTCAACTTCCAAGTAAACATTTATTGGCCAACAAACAAATTCGCTGAAAAAGCCGAGTCAAAGATTTGGGTTTACTTTGTGTTAGACAGCAAAAGAAATTTAAATTTCATTATATTACATTACATTGTTTTGAGAGAGAGAGACAGAGAGAGAGACAGAGAGAGAGAGAGAGGACCATCTGCATATTATTCTCTTTTTAAAAATAATAATAATAAGTGAAAACATCATAAATGGTCCCTGTGGTAGTGAAATGACGAAAATGCCCTTCAGTTAACGGACAAAAGTTAACGGAGTTAGCAATAAGGACCAATCGTCAAAAGTTTTGAAAGCATAGGGACCATCTATGACATTTTTAAACCACGGGGACTAAACTTCAGATTTTAGGAATCCACATGGACTATTTATGATGTTTTTTCTTTTTAAAATAATTTATTGATTTATTTGTTTTTCGAAAAGTAAAGAAGTCAAAAAAATATTTAGCAATATGAAAATATGAAAATGATTTTTAAAATATCTTCTCATTAACCCTTATAAAATGAGATTTTAATAAGTTAAGATTTCTAACTTTTCAAAATTTTTTATAATGTTTTGAGTTGTAAAAGACAAATACTATTTAAAACATGTATAAGATAAGACAAAGATTTTTTCAAAAACAACTTATTATCTTTTCCACCACAAAAACTAATCAAAATACTTTTAAAAGATTTCATTTACTCATCATCATAAATCGATAAGTCCTTTGAGATTAAAATAAAATCCCAAACACCCTTTAAAACTAAGACGTTTATCAACAACAAAAAATAATGTTACATCAACTGCATATGCCAGTTAAGTAATGCTTTAACCATCGTGACTTCTGAACCAACCATAACACATTTTCATTATTTGGCGGTTGGAATAAATAATTATAGGGGGACTTAGAGGGAGGGCAAAGTGGACAGCTGCACATGGCTCAATTTTTTTGATTATATCTTTTTATTTAAAAATACAAAATTATAATAAAGATAAGGATAATTTTTTTATGTTCTTCCTGAACCTTTAAGAATATTTTATTTTTCAGGACCGGCCCTGTAAATAACTAACCTAACAAACTATAAATAACCATCTAGGTACTAAAAAATAACATGTATATAATTGTCATACTAAAAATACTAGATCACCCTTTCAACACTCCCTTGTAATGTACGCTTTGACCACTTTCTCCGATCAGGGGTATTTTTGAAATCTCGCTTTACTTTTTTAATCATCTTTCTTGGTCTTTGGTTGCCGATAATCATCTTCACGTATCTTGTCTTGCAATCATCTTTCATTTCTATAAACAACATATGTGGCAAACCACCATCCTTCTCATCTTTCGTTGTATGTTCATGAAAATAACTTGTTGTGTTCTTCAATTCACAAGTTACATAATCATATTTTTTTTCCTCAAGCACATAGATAATATCCTTATGTTAATATCTTATATTTGTATGAATATAAAATG